TATATAAGCATTAGGATTTGTTTGGGGTTATTGAATAATCAGCTGATAAGCTGATTAAAAATAACTTGTTGATAAGCTAGGTGTGATGATTATTATAAATTTTTATTTTTTTGGAAAAGTCAGACCGCTGCAGCGCGAGAATGCTGATTTCAGCGTTTTGAAAACGCATAAGCTGTCAAAACACAGTTTACCCAAACAGATCAGGTGTGTTTTCAAAACGTCACCGTACCAAATAAGTTGCCCCAAACGGGGCCGCATTTTCTGTCCGGACACCTGACGTACCTCTACGTGCGGTACAGGTTATTCATGAGTTATTTTCATATTATTTTTGGGTTATTTTTAATAATCCTGAAATAACACATAAATAACCCAAAATAAAGACGGCGGGTTATTTCTGGGTTATTTTGAGATTATTAAAAATAATCCAGAAATAGCCTGAAAATAACTCAGAAATACTATATACTGCACGTAGAGCTATGCAGGAGAGCAGAAAAAATTTTTTGCCCAAACGGACTCTTAATTATATTGTTTAGTATTTCAGCTGTAATGTAAGCGGCGGGGTTGGGGCCGTATTCAACAATTCGATGAGATCAGAATAGATTCTTAATTTTGATAAATTTAAATTAATATGGCTTATAATAATCATAATTCATAAAATATTGGTCAGCATTAATTTCTTATAGAAATGACTAAATGTGTCCACTTTAAAAATGCATAAATTTGAAAAAAATCTACCGACAAATTTGACTTGAATTCATTTGCATCCAAATCATGTAGCGCATCTCTAAGTAAGCTTAAAGGAAAAAAATACATTAAACTCATGAAGAAATAGAATAGATGAATGTGGTTTTTAAAAGTGTCAAAAGGCAGAGAAATATTTATATTCCGAGAATGCACGCATCTCTCCGTGTGTAATCCTCTACCAATAACCACTGAATAATCTCTGTGAAGGTTATTGGGGGGTTATTGCGAAGTTATTTTGGCGTTATTTGGAGTCAATACCCTCCACGGTTACACTTTCATATTTTCTCTGTTGTTAGGGTATTGATTCCAAATAACATCGAAATAACTCCGCAATAACCCCTTAATAATCTTGCAAAGGTTATTAATGGGTTATTAGGAGGGAATTACGCACGTGGAGCTACGTGCGTTCTCTATACGTAAATATTTCTCCACAAGGCGACATGCAATTTCACCTAAACTTATAAAGGGCTAAGGTAGATTATCATAAAATGTCATGTAGGCTCGTCTTATATTTGCTTACTTGCCAATATCTAATGTGCTTAAAAAGTTCAACATAGGGTTTGGCTTTTAGCTAGCATGTAGACCATAACGTTGGGCGGTTTGGGTTAAGTGTGGGCACGATTTAATCGTACTTTGATCAGGCAAAGCGCGCTCAGGCAAAGCTTTAGCCCGGTTCGAGCACTATTTCTATCTAAAAAATCATAATCAGTCTGCTCACTCCATTGTTAATAATGGGTCAATCCTGCCCATGTGCCTTAAACTTCACACCAATAAAAACAATAATTTTTTTTTCTAAACCAAAATTATTTATTTTTTCCTCAATTGTAATTTTAAATTGCAAAAAAAAAACTTTATTTAATAACATGTCTGAAAATTGAATTGCAATCATTGGCCGCCTT